GGCCCCATAGAGACCCTCGGGGACCACCTCCCAGCCAGGGACCCCCCCAGCCCCATAGAGACCCCCCTGGAGCCCCCCGGCCCCATAGACACCCCCCTGGGTCCCCCTGGCCCCATAGAGACCCTCGGGGACCACCTCCCAGCCAGGGACCCCCCCGGGCCCATAGAGACCCCCCTGGGTCCCCCTGGCCCCATAGAGACCCCCCTGGATCCCCCTGGCCCTATAGAGACCCCCCTGGATCCCCCTGGCCCCATAGAGACCCCCCTGGATCCCCCCATCCCCATAAAACCCCCCCTGAACCCCCCCAGCCCCACGGAGACCCCCCTGAACCCCCCCTGCCCCATCGCAGTGCCAGGGGGACAAATCCACCCCTTTTTCCCCCCTTCCGGGTCACTAATTAACAATGGGGTTAATTAGTGAGGGATTCAGGGCCCCTCCCCCACCCTCGTCAATTATTAATGAGGTTTAATGAGTAATTAATGGGTACAGGAAAGTGGGCGAAGGGCCGCTATGGGGCAGGTGATGGGGGCAGAGGGCAGCCTCCACACCCTCCCCTGTCACTCATTAATGGGCTTAATTAATTAATTAATTAATGGTTTTAGTTGAATTAATAGCGAATTTTATAAACACAGGGCGGGTTATGGGGGAGATGGAGCCCGAATGGGGGACAAAATGGGGGGAAACTGTGAGGGGACAAAATGGGGGAAAATGTGAGGGGAGAAAATGGAGGCGAATCATGAGGGGAGAAAATGGTGGGAAATTGTGAGAGGACAAAATGGGGGAAATCATGAGGGGACAAAATGGAGGAAAATGTGAGGGGATAAAATGGCGGGAAACTGTGAGGGAATGAAATGGGGGGAAATTGTGAGGGGACAAAATGGAAGGAAAATGTGAGGGGACAAAATGGAGGAAAACCGTGAGAGGGAGAAAATGGTGGGAAAACCTGAGAGGATAAAATGGTGGCAAGTCATGAGGGGACAAAATGGAGGCAAACCCTGAGGGGAGAAAATGGAGGCAAATCATGAGGGGAGAAAATGGTGGGAAAATGTGAGGGGACAAAATGGAGGCAAATCATGAGGGGACAAAATGGTGGGAAAATGTGAGGGGACAAAATGGCGGCAAAGTGTGAGGGGAGAAAATGGAGGCAAAGTGTGAGGGGAGAAAATGGAGGCAAATCATGAGGGGAGAAAATGGTGGGAAAATGTGAGGGGACAAAATGGAGGCAAATCATGAGGGGACAAAATGGGGGAAAGTGTGAGGGGATAAAATGGGAGGAAACTGTGAGGGGACAAAATGGAGGCAAATCATGAGGGGAGAAAATGGTGGGAAAACCTGAGGGGACAAAATGGCAGAAATTGTGAGGGGACAAAATGGAGGGAAAACCGTGAGGGGACAAAATGGCGGCAAAGTGTGAGGGGAGAAAATGGAGGCGAATCACGAGGGGAGAAAATGGAGGAAAATGTGAGGGGAGAAAATGGAGGCAAATCATGAGGGGAGAAAATGGAGGCGAATCACGAGGGGAGAAAATGGAGGAAAATGTGAGGGGAGAAAATGGAGGCAAATCATGAGGGGAGAAAATGGAGGAAACTGTGAGGGGAGAAAATGGGGGGAAATTGTGAGGGGAGAAAATGGAGGAAAAACCTGAGGGGATAAAATGGGGGGAAATTGTGAGGGAATAAAATGGGCGGAAACTGTGAGGGGACAAAATGGAGGCAAATCATGAGGGGACAAAATGGTGGAAAACTGTGAGGGGACAAAATGGAGGAAACTGTGAGAGGACGAAATGGGGGAAATTGTGAGGGGATAAAATTGAGGAAAAACCTGAGGGGATAAAATGGCGGCAAATCATGAGGGGACAAAATGGGGAAAACTGGGAGGGAAAAAATGGGGGAAAATGTGAGGCGAGAAAATGGTGGGAAATCACAAGGGGACAAAATGGGGTCACTTATGGGGCAGGGAAGGGGTTTGGGGGTCACTTATGGGGCAACCCCACCCCCACCGCTCATTAATTTGCTTCCACGCCTCGTTAACGACTCATTTATTAATTTTCAGCCACGGCGGGTCCCGATGTGGGGCAGGTGATGGTTCTATGGGGCAGGTGAGGGACCTGTGGGGCAGGTGATGGTTCTATGGGGCAGGTGATGGTTCTGTGGGGCAGATGATGGATCTATGGGGCAGGTGATGGTTCTGTGGGGCAGGTGATGGATCTATGGGGCAGGTGATGGTTCTGTGGGGCAGATGATGGATCTATGGGGCAGGTGATGGTTCTGTGGGGCAGGTGATGGATCTATGGGGCAGGTGAGGGATCTGTGGGGCAGGTGACGGATCTATGGGGCCGGTGGTCCCCGCCGTGGGGCAGGTGTGGGTCAGTAGTTGCCGCGCTCCTGCCGGAAGCCGCCTCGTCTCAGGTACCCGTCGCCCTTGCGGTACCCGCCGTCCTTCTGGTCTGGGGGGCGGAGCCGGACAGGTGAGCAGGGGGCGGGGCCAGGGGTGCCCAGGTGTCTCCCAGGTGTGTGTCAGGTGTGTCCATGTGTGTCCCAGGTGTGTCCCAGGTGTGCCCAGGTGTGTCTCAGGTGTGCCCAGGTGTGTCCCAGGTGCCTCTCAGGTGTGCCCAGGTGTGTCCCAGGTGTGTGTCAGGTGTGCCCAGGTGCCCCCAGCTCCATCCCAGATGTCCCCAGGTGCCCCCCAGGTGTGTCCAGGTGTGCCCCAGGTGCCCCCACCTCCGTCCCAGACATACTCAGGTGTGCCCAGGTGCCCCCCAGGTGTATCCCAAACCCCTCCCCCGTCACCCAGTTCCACCCCAGGTGCCCCCAGGTGTATCCAGATGTATCCCATGTACCCCAGGTGCCCCTCAGGTGTGCCCAGGTGCCCCCAGCTCCACCCCAGGTGCCCCAGGTGCCCCCCAGGTGCGCCCAGGTGTGCTCACCCCGGAAGTACCCCCCGTAGGCTCCCTGTCTCTGGTCGAGGACGCGCTCGTTGTTCTCCACCAGGTTCCCCAGTTTCTCGGCCAATTGCAGCGCCAGGTTCTGCGTCGCCGTCGGCTCCGTCCGGTGCATCATCACCGTCGCCGTCGGCTGGTCCAGGGACGCCTGGGCGGGGCAAGGGGGCGTGGCCAGGTGAGCCCCGCCCACCCCGACACACCTGGGGCACACCTGGGGCACAGGTAACCCCGGAACTGCACCACGACCACCCCACACTTGGCTCAAGGTGCTTCATTGTGGTCTCTGGTTGGTCCAGGGACACTGAGGGGGCGTGGCCAGGTGAGCCCCGCCCACCCCCACCCACACCTGGGGCTCACCTGTGCCACAGGTAACCCCGGAACCACCCCACGACCACCCCACAAGTGTCTCAAGTTGCTCCTCCCTCTCCTTCTCTCTGGTCTCTGGTTGGTCCAGGGACATCGGGGGGTGTGGCCAGGTGAGCCCCGCCCACCCCCGGCCACACCTGGGGCACAAGGTAACCCCAGAACCACCCAAAACCTGCCCAAAACTGCCCCACAAGTGTCTCAAGATGCTCCTCCCCCTCCTTCTCTCTGCTCTCTGGTTGGTCCAGGGATTCTGAGGGGGCGTGGCCAGGTGAGCCCCGCCCACCCCCGCCCACACCTGGGGCGCACCTGTGCCACAGGTAACCCCGGAACCGCCCCACGACCACCCAAGGTGTGTCTCAAGTTGCTCCTCCCTCTCCTTCTCTCTGGTCTCTGGTTGGTCCAGGGACATCAGGGGGCGTGGCCAGGTGAGCCCCGCCCACCCCCGGCCACACCTGGGGCACAGGTAACCCCAGAACCGCCCCAAAACCTGCCCAAAACCGCCCCACAAGTGTCTCAAGTTGCTCCTCCCCTCCCTTCTCTCTGCTCTCTGGTTGGTCCAGGGACACCTGAGGGGCGTGGCCAGGTGAGCCCCGCCCACCCCGACACACCTGAGGCCACACCTGTGCCACAGGTAACCCTGGAACTGCCCCACAAGTGGCTTAAGATGCTCCTCCCCTCCTTCTCTCTGGTCTCTGGTTGGTCCAGGGACATCTGGGGGGTGTGGCCAGGTGAGCCCCGCCCACCCCGACACACCTGGGGCGCACCTGAGCCACAGGTAACCCCGGAACCGCCCCACAACCACCCCACACTTGGCTCAAGGTGCTTCATTGTGGTCTCTGGTTGGTCCAGGGACACTGAGGGGGCGTGGCCAGGTGAGCCCCGCCCACCCCCGCCCACACCTGGGGCGCACCTGTGCCACAGGTAACCCCGGAACCGCCCCACGACCACCCAAGGTGTGTCTCAAGTTGCTCCTCCCTCTCCTTCTCTCTGGTCTCTGGTTGGTCCAGGGACATAGGGGGGCGTGGCCAGGTGAGCCCCGCCCACCCCCGGCCACACCTGGGGCACAGGTAACCCCGGAACCGCCCCAAAACCTGCCCAAAACTGCCCCACAAGTGTCTCAAGTTGCTCCTCCCCTCCCTTCTCTCTGGTCTCTGGTTGGTCCAGGGACACCTGAGGGGGCGTGGCCAGGTGAGCCCTGCCCACCCCCAGCCACACCTGAGCCACAGGTAACCCCAAAACCACCCCAAACCCGCCCCAAAACCCCCCCCTTTCCCCACCCCTCACCTGCCCCGCCTCCCGAGGCCCCGCCCCCCCAGGCCCCGCCCCCCTCACCATAAGCTCCTCCCCGATGATCATCTTGCTGATGATGCCGTGCACCGTGGG